TTTATAATTTGAATAAATTGATAGATTTGTATTACCTGTGAAGTTCCTGGAGCATCAAAATATACAACTTCATAAATTATTGCTTCCGAAGCTTTTATTGTCTCTGGTTGAGTATCAGAGAAATTCACAGACGAAGTCACTAAATGTAAGTTGTTCTCATTGTGAGTATTCCTACATGTATGATGAAAAAGTTATTATCAATAGTATAGATAGTTCATAATTTATTAATTCAAATGTTATGTTTCACAAAAATTTCAATAATGTATTGTGTAACCTTCTAACCTTTGTAGTAATTTTTGAACTCTTGCTTCATTAATATTGAAGTACACTTTTGTTGTTGTCGTTGATGAAACCGTATTGTTACCTATGTATCAGTACATACATACAAAGGCTAATTTATATTTATCGTGCTGAATGTTAAAAATGCAATGGCCTTCGATAACCAAATTACCTCTGAAGTTTTTTACTAATACTCCAGTCACCACCATAACCACATTGTTTGTATCATTTCTTTAAATTTAAAGTCAAATTTGATTGCTAGTTTATTCCATAACGTGACCATATGTACTCCTCATCCCTGTAAGAAATAATGATTCATATATCTGCAGGTATATTACAATTCAGTTTCAGAAATATAACATTAATTATATCATTTTAAGATATGAGATAGTGTAGAAATATAACAATTCAGTATCAGGAGATTTACATATATGACATGTATCTTTCTTGATCCATCAAGTCTCAGCGTCTTCCTTAGATCTCTGTTGTTTTTTTGGGCGCGCGTTCGTCTCTTTGTAAGTAATTGGTTCTCTAACATTTGTGCTAATTTGTTATGGTACTTGAGAGTTTTGATTTCCATAATTGATCTAATTGGCAACACAAAATTTATATATTCTTGATTTTTCATTATTGCCCTGTTTTGTATGTTTGAGACTTATTTAATTTCTCAATTGATCTATCTATTATTGAATTCATTCATTAGGAACATGAGCACATGAGAATATATAGTTTTACGTTCTTGAAAAAAAAATATAACTACCACCATAATTAGAACATAACATTTTATGTTTAATAAAAATATAACTACCACCCATTTGGATACAAGTTCCTCTGATCTTATCTATTTGGATATAAATCCCTAAATCATCATATTTAGATACAAAGCCCCTCAAAAGTACTAAGTTCTTTGAAGAAGTCCTTGTGATTAATTCCCACCACTTAACCCAACTAAAATAACAAGTTGTTAGAAATTAACTCTAAATTAGAGGAATTTAAGAAACTTTAGTAATATAGAGTTGGTTTCCGAATGGGTTCAGAGGACACATTGGCTTAACTTTTCGCCTTTGCAAGAAGGTAGGTTGAAAACGAGGAAAAAAATATGAAACAAGAAAATTAACAATCCCATTAATTATGTTGTGTTAAGTGGATGATAATTAATCATCAGGACTTGTTTCAAAGAACTTAATAGTTTTGGAAGACTTGTATCCAAATATTGATAATTTGGGGGAATTGTATCCAAATAGATGAGATTATGGGGACCTACATCCAAATATAACGACATGGGAGACTTGTATTCAAAAAGATAAAGAGTGGGGGGATCAATATCTCAAATGTTCATTTTTTATTGTAGGTCTCAGAATCCTGGTTGTAGAAGTATGAATATTATGGGTGAAACAACGTTGTGATACTAACAACTTTTGCCTTCAAATTACCTGAAACCATGCTAAATTACACAAAATCCTTACCAAGAAATTGAGACCAACTTTACTGCAATTTCTGGATCAAACGCATAGTCGAACCAAATCACCCGAACTGATAACTAAATAAGTAGAACAAGGAAAAGCCATGGAAAAGGGGGTTCTTCAAATAATAAAAATTGGGAGTGCATAGCATACTTGGTTACAGAGGAAGCAGTAGTAACTTGTTCTCCTCCATCGAAAACCTGCAGTGGGAGATTGTTACGGTCAGCAGCAGAAGCAGGAGACACAGAAATTGGCTGTTGTTGATGGTGACAATATATTCAACCAAGTAACAAGGATAAGTTCGGAGAAGAAATAAAAATACTGCTACTAATAGGAAGTGATGCCACCAATCAAAATCTTTATCTCAAGCAATTGTGCAGGTAAAAAAACAGCTTCAATATATATCTCAAAAAGTAACTGCGCAGGTGAAAAAACAGCTTCAATATTGTATTGCTACTTTTAACTCCAATACCTCAACAGAGAATGTATCCTACGAATTGCGGATCATCATTTGCTGCGTGATGCAATCTAGAGCATACAAAAATGTTAAGACAGGAGAATGTATCCTACGAATAGTTGTCTTAAGCTGTTCGTAAAATTAACAATGTGTAAAGAAATTTATATTTTGATGCTGTCATATAATTTCCTTGTTTCAACACTATGCGTCCACAAAATTCTTGATATCATCATCTATGACATTACACGAGGTATTCAATTTGCAGAACATATGTTCATTGTCGAAGTTCATCCATCAAAATTTGAGCGGTCC